AACTCAGTGTGAAGATGGGGTTTCCCAGAGAAAGATCCAAGGTGTTGTTATTGCATAAACCACAGATTCTCATAGACTATATATTTTTCCTTTTCCTTTATCCTTTTTTTTCTTATTCTTATTAAGTACGTACTTAATAATATGTAGGTAGCATACTTTCTAAGTTCTTGTATGTCTGAAAATAACTATACATTACCCTCATAACTCGATGGTTTAAATTCTAACTGCCTAACATCTGGCTTCCCACTTACACAAAATTTAGTTGGGACAAAGAGTTTTCTATATGTTCTAGTGTAATACAAATCTGAGGGCTGTTTCCAGATCTTCAGACAAACACACTTTCTGTCATTCATTTGTAATAAAGCAAAACAAATGTGACCAAACAAAACTAGTAACCAAATACCATGATGGTGATAACATCATGAGATCATGGTCTAATACTTCCTCCAAATTTCAGTTCTTACTTTTCACTGTCCACTTCCTGTCACACGGCTATTTGCCTTAAGAGTTAAATCAGTAAACAGAGTTTAAGGACTTCGGCATTGAGCATTAAAGTAAGTGTTAATCAAAGATGCACAAGAAAATCCCAAATACTTTTTGAATTAAGCATGTTAATAATTTTAACTAGGTCATGTGTTTAAACAATAAATGGATTTATTTTCTCCTGAAATGAGAATGAGGAGGTAAACTGAATTTCTTACATTGGACTAAAACATGAAATATCCATTTACATAATACAGATCTTGATGTTATAGCTCCATGAAATAATTCAAAAATACCTAAACATACATATTCAAATAAAAAATTAAAGTTTGAAACAAAGTAGGCGCAAAATAAGCCTACTAGTGTAAAATTAGAAACACCAAATGTATTACAAATTAGAGTACTTATTATTGGTTAGAATATGTTGATAATTAAGCTAAAGTCATGCGCTTAATTCCCGATGTACCAGTTTCCTCTGCTTTGTTACAGAAACACAGGCTGAATCACAATTCCCAGCTGTCTTGGAAGTGTGCATTATTGATCAAGAGGGGTACACAGCGGACGTGGGGAAAGATTAGTCCAAATTCCATTACAATAACAGGAAAAACAATTCTGAGCACATTCCCTACAGAGAGTGGGTCAGCAGCTTAATGTTATCTCAGTTTGGCATGTGTCTCTTGTAGACAGATGCTTAATGATAGTTCTTTGTAATGTTAATAATGATGAAAAGAAGATACATTTTCAAACTATATAGCAGCTTTCCAAAACAGGTAATTTTAAGATTGTGAGATTCATGAACAACACATCCAGTTCATCAAATATTAGCTCCTGAATCTTTGGGGGCTTAAATTGTATGTATTAAAAATTCTGATTTGGAAAAGCACTGTCAGTCTTGCTCTATGACATAATGTAACCACAATTAAGTCTAATCCCACAACAATGTAAAAAAATTATATATATGTCTGTATATTTGTATAGTGTAAAGCACCAAAGGTATCAGAGAGAGGGGAAATGCTACCATTACTTTGAACTTAGTGAAGCTAACTAGAGGAAATAAATATTAGAAATATGTAGACAGTACAAAAAACCTGAATACATTACAATGGAGGAAAATGTTTTCTCATATTTCCCATTAAATATATTTTCAGGCATCTCAGTTCACTTTTATATTATTATTAAGTTACTATGCTTAGATATTTTAGAGCAAATTAGTTTTTGTGCAGTCACATAATTTAATCCTCTTATATACAGAGGACATTTGAGGCAGAAAAAAACCCCGAAATTTTTGGAGTGTTCATACCAAGTGTCATATCTTCTGATAGACATTGTATAAACATATCTAATTTAGTCTTCATCAAAAAAAAGTACAACAAAAATTTTATAGGGTGATTAATGTTATCCTCATTTAATAATGTGGCAAATAGAGCTAGGTAAATTCGGTGAGTTGCCACGGGCTCCAAACTAGCATAGCCCTGAGTTTTAAACAAATGATAGGCGGGCGCCTGGGTGGCTGAGTTGGTTAAGCGACTGCCTTCGGCTCAGGTCATGATCCTGGAGTCCCAGGATCCAGTCCCTGGATCGAGTCCCACATCGGGCTCCCTGCTCGGCAGGGAGTCTGCTTCTCCCTCTGACCCTCCCCCCTCTCATGTGCTCTCTCTCATTCTCTCTCTCAAATAAATAAATAAAATCTTAAAAAAAATGATATGCATTTGGACTTTTATGACTTATCAGTGCCAAAGATTGCTTATTGTTCAACAGTATCCAGTTTTTCTGTTTTCCATGATAGTACAATATTCAGCTGGGTATACTGTTTCGCAGCTAGACCAGATTTCTGTAGACTCCCTTTCAGCTATGTGTGGATATATGACCAAATTCTGGCCTATTTTATGCATGTAATTTCTGGGTTGTGCCTTATCTTCTTCCTTCCTACAGGCTGGAGTTAGAATATAATGGCAAGAGTTGAGTAGCCATCTTGAGCCACGTTATGGAAACTATGTTTTGGGAATGGCAGAAAACAAGTTATAAGGAAATTTAGTCTCCAGCAATATTAAGTTGATATAACCTTCTTGGACAGACTATTTAAACATTTCCATTTGTTTAAGTTGCTGAACCTTTATGTATATTTGTATTTTACAGTGTGTGTGGTGTAACTCTTTGCTAAAACAGCTGTGTGTTATAACTAATATAACATTGTTTATATTTTTCTTGTAGATAACTACACTTTTGATGGTGAATTAAAAAAAAGACTTATTCTACCCTAAGATGATGGTCATAAATTATGAAAACATTTTGCTTGGTGTGCTAGAGAAAAATACACAAAGAAATCAAACTTCAGTTTCTCCATTCTAGATATTATAATTCAAAAACATATTAATGTAAATGTATTAATGAAAATGTATTGATGCACATGTGATTAAAAACAGTAACATTGTACATTTAAAATGTATGTGATTAAAACCAATAACACGCGGGCACCTGAGTGGCTCAGTCGGTTGAGCATCTGCCTTTGGCTCAGGTCATGATCCCAGGGTCCTGGGATTGAGCTTTGTATCAGGCTCCCTGCTCAGCGGGGAACCTGCTTCGCCCTCTCCCGCTCCCCCTATTTGTGTGCTCTATCAAATAAATAAATAAAATCTTTAAAAAAATAAATAAAATAAAATAAAACCGATAACACACAAGAACAACAACAAAAGCAACTCCAACTGCAGATAAAATAAAAAGTGAAGCACAAATAATTTAAATGATAAATAAACTGCATAATGGCAATTTCATATACATCATGAAAACCCATTATCTAGCACTACTGCATCCCTTGGCATAAGAAAGTGGCAAAATCTGTCTAGTTGCTTCTTTTGAAAATAAAAACTACTGAAGAAATAGACAAATGGGCAGAAAGTAAGAGCAAATGGAGAGCCCACCCTACGTGATTCACTGTAATGAGGATGCCTCCAAAACTAAAGTGAACTAAGTATTATCATATAAAAATAACTTGTCCTTATTTCATCATTAATATTTCTTTTTTTTTAAAGATTTTATTTATTTCTTTGAGAGAGAGAGAGCATGAGCAGGGAAAAGGGCAGAGGGAGAAGCAGACTCCCCACTGAGCAAGGAGCCCAACAAGGGGCCCGATCCCAGGACCCCAGGTAATGACCTGAGTCGAAGGCAGATGCTTAAATGACTGAGCCATCCAGGTGCCCCTCAACATTAATATTTCAATTACTTCTTTACTAAATATACTTTAACAGACTCTAATAATATTTTAAAAATCATTCATTTCACTCTTTGTAATTTTCCAGCATTTGAAATACTAGCAAGTACAGGGGTATACAAGAGATTTTAATTTGGAGTATTTTTCTAAAAATAAAATGAAAAAACTCCTAAACTATTCATATAATATCATTATCTTAAAATTAAGAATGTTTAGTGACTTTAGAAGGGAAGTCATTACTTTTAATATTTTATATTTAGGCAGCTAGGTGTTTACTAGGTGAACAATAAAAAAAATTTGTGAGCAGTAAAAAAGATTTAAATGATAAGATGGCTTTGTGTCAATTTTAGAGAGATATTTTATATTTAAAGGCATTTAATATCTTAAAATACATTTATTTTTTAAGATATAAAGTATGTAATAAAACCTATTTTCAATACACTTAATAGAGATATTAACTACAAACTACTGACACAAAGTAGTTGCTATACCTACATATCTCAACCTATGTTTATATATATCTATCTATAGCTCTATTTATATCTAATTCAGTTGTTCTAGTATATGGGGCATTCTTCTTATTTTGTACTCCCTAATTAACTTTTTCTCTTTCTTGATAGGTCAAATCCAGGACAGAGCACAATTACACATAATATCTAAGACTCCTGCAAAACAGATATATTATTCTACTTCATTTTTTGATTTTTCACATTTTTTCCTCCTCTTAAGGATCTACGTGAATCCATATGTGCAGGGCAACATTTCCCACTGGATTACTTTATAACCATCAAAGTGAGACTTTCCAGAAGAAATAACTGTTTTCTATAATAAAGCAAAGTACCAAGTCCTGCGTTGCTTTGCCAGGAGATCTGCCCTTGCTTTCTGCCTGACTGCACAGTAAAACATCATGGAGAGAAGGCATGGGCAGAGACAGTGATGGGCAATGACAGTTTTCTCAACAGTATTTCTGCTCTGAAGATTGTAGAAATATAAGGGCACCTCCATGTCAGCAGTTTGAAAGAAAATTTCTTGTTTGACAACTGTGGCATGCAGTACAAATTCTTGTGATTTGGTTGTTTACAACACTTGGGAAAATGCCAAAGTTGCAGTAAATATCAATACCAAATGATAGATGCACCTTCTTGTTTTTTCTGTAAGACTGAAGGAGAGATTTTACTTTTATTCCTATAGGTGATCCCTTACATTTATAGTGAGTATTTCTCTATTTTAGCCAACTCAATTAAAATAATGTATATTTAGAAACTATAATCAAATGAAACAATAAAAATAATGATATGTACAATCTTACCAGGTGAAGATAAGGCATAGTAATGTAGATATTAAAATCAAAACTTGATTAAACATTGCAGATTGTGTACGCTGAATGGCTCTGTGCAGATCATTCTAAAATAAAACCAAAAAGCATATTTTAATTTTGAAAATACTACATATCAATGAGTTTCACTACATTTATTACTGTGTATTATATTTCAACTATCTTGTGCACACTCGATGCATATACTTTAAATGGATATAGCAACATATTTCTATTTTTGCCTAGGTCTAAATATACTTTACCTTAGCATTCATATTACAAAAATGACACTATGGGGGACCACCAAAGCCCGAAATTTCAGTTTACTCCCCCTTATCAACATTTATAGAGATGTTGCACTGATTCCCAAAAAGCTCTCCACAGTAAGCAATGTCTATAATGGAAAATTCTAATTTTAAGAGTAATAGCTAGGTCAAGCTACAATCATATCTCATTCTCTGAATCAGGAAAAATGACATGAAATATGCCAGGCAATCTATCATGAACAGAAAAAACTAAACAGCCAATGAACAAAATTTTTTAAGTTTAATTTCATTAATATAAAGATAAAGGTGAATTAAAGATATAATTTCTATCTTTCCAATTGAAAAATGTTAAAAAATAATAATATCCAATATTGTTTAAAATGCAAAAAAGTGAGCACTCACAAATGATTGATATTGCCCATGCAATTTGTTATAAAATTTCTTGAAGGTGATTTGGTAACACAAGTCAAAGCCATGTCCTTTTTATTTCATGCATTCATTAATTAATTTAATGAGTACGTACTCAATAACATAACTTCTAAAAACTGACCACATGAAAATCATCAGAGATAAAAATTAATATTTATGTTAATTTTTATTACAAAATTACAATACTTATATGAAATAAGGAATGTTCATTACTACTAAAATATGCAATACAAAATGGTTAAACAAAGTCATCAAAACTATACAATAGATTTAGATGCAGCTATTAAAAATGATTAGAAGACATATGAAATTGAGCACTACAAAAACAAAATTCAAATTATAACATTGAACATACAATGTAATTTCATATATGATATGTGTGCATTCTTTTCAGAGAAAATATTATAAGAATATAAGTTATGACTAGTATTTAGTCTGTGGTACATTCATAGGTTTTCATTATTTATAGTTTTCTTTTCATCTCAAATATTTTATAATAAACTTTTAACTGTCTTGAAGTCAGTGTTGCATGAAATAAATCACTTCACCAATATTAAATCTCAACAAGCCACTATTTTCTCTTCCTCTACCATATATTTAACCAAACTGTTAAGAAAACAAAAATCTAAGTTGATTAGAAGTTCACCTCTCATCCCTTACTTTCTTTTTGATAGAGGTGTTAATGAGCAGAAAAATAAATAAACATTTCTCCAATCAGTGAAAGGAGAAGTAAAATATAGAAACACAATGGAAAATGAATCCTAAATTAATATTGCAAAGCAGTACTTTCACTCTCAGTGATTGACTAATGATTCCTCCCTTGGTTAGGTTATTTTTTTCCACCAACTAATAACACAAATTAGTGAAAAGAGGGTTATTTTTTCCCGGCGTATTTTTTTCTTTTGCAATTTAGGCAATCCATATTTAATGAAATAGTATTTTGGGGGGGAATAGTGAAGACAGCCCAACATTTCATCAAATCATCCCACAGGTCATACTCCCCTATCATTTGGACATGCATTTTCATGAGATTCCAGTGGTTATTTAAAATAAATGTTTAGAAACATTCATTTGGTTGTGAATACTCAAATGCTATCCAAATATACCTTTGGCTAAACTTTTTGTGTTCCATTTCTATTCAAAAACATTTAAAAGGAAAACAAGTTTGCTTCCAAGCAAATTTAATTTCAATGTAGTAAAATTAACAGTATTGAGCCCTTACTACATTTATGCCAGATACAATATTTTATACACACACACAAACACATCTATATGTTATACATGTATGTAATTTCATTTAATTTTTATAACAAGTCTGTAGGGTAACTACTTTAGTTCTCTTCTGAAGACAAGTAACCAAAGCTATTGGTAGCTCTGGCTTGGTGATATTTAGAAAATCTGGGAGGAGGGGCACCTGGGTGGCTCAGTCAGCTAAGCATCTGCTTTTGGCTCAGGTCATGATACCAGATTCCTGGGATCGAGCCCTCACTCAGTGGGGATCCTGCTTCTCCATCTCCCTCAGTCCCCCAGCTTGTGCTCTCTCTCACTCTATCTCAAATAAATAAATAAAATCTTTAAAAAAAAGTCTGGGAGGAGAGGAAAAGATGGTGGAGGAGTAGCAGACCCTATTCCAACTGGTCCCCAGAATTGAGCTGGATATCTACCAGACCACTCTGAACATCCACAAAACCAGCCTGAGTTGTAAGAACATATATCTGGATCTCCACAAACAGAATATCGCAGGCGGTTGGTTTCCAGGTATGAAGTGCAGAACTGTGATTCCACAGGCACATATCTGAAGATAAACAGGAGGGGGAGAGAGCCGTGGGGATCCTACACCACCGGTAAGCAATAGCCTCCCATGCTGGGGACAGGGCACAGACTAGCAGACCAGTAGCGGCGGGGAAAGGAGTTTAGGGCAGCCCCCCAGACAGAAGCCCAGAGCATCAGGGCTCCACATGCAAACTGGGGGCAGCTGGTGGTTTTAGAAGCACAAAGGACAGAGACGTGCCCCAACCTGGAGGCGAGGACTAGGAGCCCTGCTGAGGGGTGTACAACCCAGGATACTGCACTTTATAGCAGCACAGACAGAAACGGAGATAGTGTGGCCTGGAGAGCTCACTGAAGAACAGACTGCAATCTCTCTGTTCTGAGGCAGAGGGTTGAAAATGATCACTTATGCTCTGACTCTCGGAAGAGATGCAGAAAGCTGCCAGGGAAAGCTGCCAGAGAATAAAAGCCCCAAAAACTGGTTTTCACTGAGCCCATCCCCCCCCACATGGGGCAGGGCAACTTTACCCAAACAGGGTTGCCTGAGTAACAGCATGGCAGGTCCCTCCCCTAGAAGACAGGCTGGGAGAACAAGAGGCAAACAACCCTAAGGTCCCTATAAAACAGGTGCATCTGGCTTGGGTTGTGGTCAATAATTTGGACTCTGTACATTCCCTCAACCACCCCTCAACAGAATGACTAGGAGGAGGAAGCCCCAAAATAGGAAAGACTCGGAGACTGTGACTTCTGCCACGGATTTACAAATGGATATAGATATAACCAAGATGTTGGAAATGGAATTCAGGGTAACAGTTATGAAGACAATAGCTAGAATGGAGAAATCGATTAATGGCAACATAGAGTCTCTAAGGGCAGAAATGAAAACTGAAGTGGCAGAACTTAAAAATGCTATCAATGAGATCCAATCTAAACTAGATAATCTAACAGCTAGGGTAAGAGAGACAGAAGAATGAATTAATGATCTAGAAGACCAATTGATAGAAAAGAAGAATAAAGAGGAGGCCATGGAGAAACAACTCAAAATCCATAACAAAATCAGAGAAATAAGTGACACCACGAAACATTACAATGTCAGAATTATTGTGATATCTAAGAGGGTGGAGAGAGAGAGAGGACTAGAAGATATATTTGAGCAAACTGTAGCTGAGACTTTCCTAATCTGGGGAATGAAGCAAACATTCGTGTCTTAGAGGCAGAGAGGACTCCTCCCAAGATAAGGAAAACAGGCCACTGCCCCGGCATGTAATAGTAAAACTCAAATCTTAGAACCAAGGAAACCATCTTAAGGGCAGCTAGGGAGAAGAGATTCCTTACGTACAGAGGGAGGAACATCAGACCTATCCACAGAGACATGGCAAGCCAGAAAGGGCTGGCAAGACATATTCAGGGTACTAAATGAGAAGAACATGCAGCCAAGAATACTTTATTCATCAAGGCTGTCATTTAGAATGGATGGAGAGATCCAGAGCTTCCAAGACCAGCAGAAACTGAAAGAATATGTGACCACTAAGCCGGCCCTGCAAGAAATATTAAGGGGGTTCTATAAAAGGAGAAAGACCTCACGAGTGATATAGAACAGAAATTTACAGAGATAATCTATAGAAACAAGGACTTCACAGGCAACATGATGACAATAAAATCATATCTTTCAATAATCACTCTCAACGTGAATAGCCAAAATGCTCCCATAAAACAGCACAGGGTTGCAAATTTGATAAAAAGACAGGACCCATCTATATGCTGTCTACAAGAGATTCATTTTGAACCTAAAGATACATCCAGACTGAAAGTGAAGGGATGGAGATCCATCTTCTATGCCAGCAGACCTCAAAAGAAAGCTGGGGTAGCAATTCTCATATCAGACAAATTAGATTTTAAGCTGAAGAATGTAGTTAGAGACACAGAAGGACACTATACCATTCTTAAAGGCTCTATCCAACCAGAAGATCTAACAATTGTAAGTACCTATGCCCCGAACATGGGAGCAGCCATCTACATAAGCCAACTGTTAACCAAAATAAAGAGTCATATTGATAATAATACGATAATTGTCAGAGATTTCAATACTCCACTCTTAGCAATAGACAGATCATCTAAGCAGAAAATCAACAAAGAAACAAGAGTTTTGAAAGACACACTGGACCTGATGGACCTCATAGATATATACAGAACATTCCACCCCAAAACAACAGAATACTCATTCTTCTTGAGCACACACAGAACTTTCTCCAGAATAGACCACATACTGGGTCACAAATCAGGTCTCAAATGATACGAAAAGATTGAGAATATTCCTTGCATATTCTCAGACCATATGCTTTAAAACTGGAACTCAATCACAAGAAAAAATTTGGAAGAAATTAAAACACTTGGAAGCTGAAGACCACTCTGCTCAAGAATGTTTGGGTCAGGGCGCCTGGGTGCCTCAGTCGGTTAAGCGACTGCCTTCGGCTCAGGTCATGATCCCAGGGTCCTGGGATCGAGTCCCACATCCGGCTCCCTACTCTGCGGGGAGCCTGCTTCTCCCTCTCCCACTCCCCTTGCTTGTGTTCCCTCTCTCGCTGTGTCTCTCTCTGTCAAATAAATAAAATCTTAAAAAAAAAAAAAAAGAATGTTTGGGTCAACCAAGAAATCAAAGAAGAACTTAAAACAATTCATGGAAACCAATGAGAATGAAAACACATTGGTACAAAACCTATGGGATACTGCAAAGACTGTCCTAAGGGGGAAATACATAGCCATCCAAGCCTCACTCAAAAAAATAGAAAAATCCTGAATTCACCAACTAACTATGCACCTTAAAGAACCAGAGCAAAAGCAACAAATGATACCTAAGCCATGCATTAGAAGAGAAATACTTAAGATTAGAGCAGAGATCAAAGAATTAGAAACCAGAAAACACAGTAGAGCAGATCAACAAAACTAGAAGCTGGTTCTTTGAAAGAATCAATAAGATCAATAAACCACTGGCCAGAATTATCCAAAAGAAAAGAGAAAAGACCCAAATTAATAAAATTATGAATGAAAGGGGAGAGATCACGACCAACACCAAGGAAATAGAAACAATTATTAGAAATTATTATCAACAACTATATGCCAATAAATTAAGTAACCTGGAAGAAATAGATGCCTTCCTGGAAACCTATAAACTACCAAGACTGAAACAGGAAGAAATTGAAAACCTGAATAGACTAATAACCAATAATGAGATTGAAGCAGTGATCAAAAACCTCCCAAAAAAACAAGAATCCAGGGCCTGATGGATTCCCTGAGGAATTCTACCAAACATTCAAAGAAGAAATAATACCTATTCTCCTGAAGCTGTTTCAAAAAATAGAAACAGAAGGAAAGCTTCCAGACTCATACTATGAGGCCAACATTATCTTGATCCCCAAACCAGGCCAAGACCCCATCAAAAAGGAGAATTTCAGATCGATATCCCTGATGAATATGGATGGCAAAATTCTCAACAAAATCCTAGCTAATAGGATCCAACAGACATTAAAAAGATCATCCACCATGACCAAGTGGGATTTATCCCTGGGATGCAAGGGTGGTTCAACATTTGCAAATCAATCGATGTGATAGAACACATTAATAAGAGGAGAGAGAAGAACCATACGGTCCTCTCAATTGATGCAGAAAAAGCATTTGACAAAATACAGCATCCTTTCCTGATTAAAACTCTCCAGAGTATAGGGATAGAGGGAACATTCCTCAAGTTCATAAAATCCATCTATGAAAAACCCACAGTGAATATCACCCTCAATGGGGAAAAGATGAGAGCCTTTCCCTTAAGATCAGGAAGACATCAAGGATGCCCACTCTCACCACTATTGTTCAACATAGTACTAGAAGTCCTAGCAACAGCAATCAGACAACAAAAGAAATAAAAGGTATTCAAATTGGCAAAGAAGTCAAACTCTCTCTTTTCGCAGATGACATGATACTTTATGTGGAAAACCCAGACTCCAACCCCAAATTACTAGAACTCATATAGCAATTCAGTAATGTGGCAGGATACAAAATCAATGCACAGAAATCAGTTGCTTTCTTATACACTAACAATGTAACTGTAGAAAGAGAAATTAGAGAATTGATTCCATTTACAATAGCACCAAAAACCATAAGATACCTTGGAATAAACTTAACCAAAGAGGTAAAGGATCTATACTCTAGGAACTACAGAACACTCATGAAAGAAGTTGAAGAAGACACAAAAAGATGGAAAAATATTCCATGCTCATGGATTGGAATAAACACTGTTAAAATGTCCATGCTACCCAGAGCAACCTATAGCTTCAATGCGATCCCGATCAAAATTCCAATGACATTTTTCAAAGTGCTGGAACAAACAATCCCAAAATTTGTATGGAATCAGAAAAGACCCCGAATCACTGAGGAAATGTTGAAAAAGAAAAACAAAGCTGGGGGCATCACGTTGCCTGATTTCAAGCTATATTACAAAGCAGTGATCACCAAGACAGCATGATACTGGCACAAAAACAGACATATAGACCAATGAAACAGAATAGAGAGCCCAGATATGGACCCTCAAATCTATGGTCAAATAATCTTTGACAAAGCAGGAAAAAATATGCAATGGAAAAAAGCCAGTCTCTTCAATAACCGGTGCGGGGAAAATTGGACAGCTATATACAGAAGAATGAAACTCGACCATTCTCTAACACCATACACAAAGATAAACTCAAAATGGATGAAAGACCTCAATATGAAACAGGAATCCATCAAAATCCTAGAGGAGAAGGTAGGCAGTAACCTCTTCGACATCAGCCACAGCAACTTCTTTCAAGATACATCTCCAAAGTCTAGTGAAGCAAAAGCAAAAATGAACTTTTGGGACTTCAGGACTTCATCAAGATAAAAAGCTTCTGCACAGCAAAGGAAACAGTCAACAAAACAAAGAGGCAACCCACAGAATGGGAGAAGATATTTGCAAATGACACTACAGACAAAGCGCTGATTTCCAAGATCTATAAAGAACTTCTCAAACTCAACACCCAAAAAACAAATAATCAAGTCAAAAAATGGGGAGAAGACATGAACAGACACTTCTCCAAAGAAGACATACAAATGGCTAACAGACACATGAAAAAATGTTCATCATCATTTGCCATCAGGGAAATTCAAATCAAAACCACATTGAGATACCATCTTACACCAGTTAGAATGGCAAAAATTGACAAGACAAGAAACAACAAATGTTGGAGAGGTTGTGGAGAAAGGGGAACCCTCTTATACTGTTGGTGGGAATGCAAGTTGGTACAGCCACTTTGGAAAACAGTGTGGATGTGCCTCAAAAAATTAAAAATAGACCTACCCTATGACCCAGCAATTGCACTACTGGGTATTTACCCCAAAGACACAGATGTAGTGAAAAGAAGGGCCATATGCAACCCAATATTCATAGCAGCAATGTCCGCAATAGTCAAACTGTGGAAAGAGCCGAGATGCCCTTCAACAGATGAATGGATAAAGAAGATGTGGTCCATATATACAATGGAATATTACTCAACCATCAGAAAGGATGAATACCCAACTTTTACATCAACATGGATGGGACTGGAGTAGATTATGCTAAGTAAAATACACCAAGCAGAGAAAGTCAATTATCATATGGTTTCACTTACTTGTGGAACATAAGGAATAGCATGGAGGACATTAGAAGAAGGAAGGGAAAAATGAAGGGGGGGAATCGGAGGTGGAGATGAACCATGAGACTATGGACTCCAAGAAACAAATGAGGGTTTCAGAGGGGATGGGGGTGGGGGGATGGGTTAGCCCAGTGGTGGGTATTAAGGAGGGCATGTACTGCATGGAGCACTGGGTGTTATACGAAAAGAATGAATCGTGGATCACTACATCAAAAACTAATGATGTATTGTATGGTGACTAACATAACATAATAAAATTAAATTTAATTTAATTTTAAAAAAAGAAAATCTGAACTATCTTTTTTTACCAGGTCATAGGGCCTTAGAAAGGTGGTGACTTGACAATAAGGGCCAAATTAATTTAGCCCAGAAAGTTTTCATTCTGAATTAGGATGCAAGCAGACTTAAGGTCTATTAACGTCAATATTAATATTGACATCGCTTTGACAGTATTTTACCAAAACTCTTCCATTATTACAAATATTTAAATGAAACTATTTATTGGGATACTAAATTAATTTAAAAGAAATTTATTAATTTAAAATAAAATAAATTTATCTCTTTTAAAAATGAACCATTCAGAAATTTATTTATACCTAAATAAATCACAATAGTATGAGTTTATATTTCATGGGTGAAAGAAAAATGAGGAAGTACAAGACTAAGACCTCAAATCATCTTCTCTCTGTGTTTAATATAAGCACTGAAAGTATGTAAGAAATAATGGAAGGTTGAAAATACTTTGTATTGGCACTTCATTCTTTCATACTTACAATCATATTTTCCAAGGCATGTTTGGCAAGCCAACAGTTTAGAAAGACGGGGACAAATAGATTCCTTAAGGAAGGCCAAAAGATCTGAAAAACAAACCAAAACTAAACTTTTATCTCAAAGCAAAAATCATATCCAGCAGATTAACATGTAAAACAAAAAAAAAAGTTAATAAAGACAATTTTTAATACATGTGACAAATACTTTAAACTCATTAATGAAATGCAAGGAGAAGATCCAATCTTTTCATTCATTGTTCTAATTCTTACTTAGGAAAAACTTCTTTGGGAAATTATTGTAGAAGCAGAAAGGAAAAAATGAGCTCCTGCTAATGTCACCTATAACTATGGTAATTCTATCATTAATTCTTTCAGTGTAACGGTTTATAATAGAGATCACCTCTTTCTTCCCTACAACTGGAGGGGGAACATAGGAATAAGGAGAGAAGGCTTTCCCTTTTCACAACATTACCACTTACTCTCTTCAGATTCAAACATTTTAAGTGACACTGGGAACCATATTCAATTGGATTATATGTAGTTAGCCTGTCATTTAATCTAGTTCCAGTCGTTCCTGTAGATAAATCATTCAAATTAAAATAATTGTCAGAAGTAAGCAACCACTTGAGATAATATTTGCTTATTTCCATAATTTTCCAAATAAAATTCAAATGAAGTGTTAGAAAGCATATCCCCAACAGACATTTTTATAAATCTATGAGATAGAGATTAAAACCTAATTTTGCAATGGCAAAGTGCTTGTTACATATTTATGGGGCTGCAATTGAGCAGGATCATTGTAAAATTGGTATTCCACAGTACCTTGATAAAAAAACAAATTGCTAATTATCTGGCTGTTGGCAACTTTCTTATTAATGGGAGAATCAGACTTAGTAAATATTGTGTTTAAGCTAGAAATAAATATATGCTCAGTATGAGAAACCTTTATCAATACTTGGTTTCTATTTTTTTTCATTTGAGTATAGGTGACACACAATGTTCTATGAGTTTTAGGGTACAACTTAGTGATTTCACAAGTTTATACATTATGCTATGTTATCCACAAGGGTAGTACCACCTGTCCTATGATATCACTACTATATCATTAATTGTATTCCTTATGCTATGCCTTTTATTCCCATGACATTCATTCCATAACTGGAAGCCTGTATCCCTTCCCTTTCACCCAGTTTGCCCAACCCCCCACTCTCTCCCCTCTGGCAACCGTCAGTTCTCTGTATTTATAGGTCTGATTCTGCTTTTTGTTAGTTTCTATTTTTTTTAATTTCACAATATACACAAGAAATGGAGTGATTAATTTCTACTCTGTCTAGATAATATCAACACCTATTCACATGGCACATCTAGAGCATATATGTCTAAAAAAGTATTTTATTTTGCTATTGCACTAAATCTCACTAGTTTTCATTTAATTCCATAATCTAGTTATCCAACTGATTTTACTCTTTATTTTTAATACCATGATCCTTACCGAAGCCTAAAATCATTTATTGGAGCTAGTATAGTATTTATTAGTATTTAGATTTAAAGACTTAAGTCTAATGACAAAATTAGTTATTTTAAAGATGCTTTTAGGACTTACTGAGATAATGAAGGGAACCGCATTAATTATTTCCAAGATGAAGGGTATTCGTAAAATCTGTTCCCAGATGTTTCCCTTCCAAGAAAGAATAAATAAAAATGAAAGTCAATTATACTGAATCCCATTAAAGGGGGAAAAAGACAGCACTCAGAATTTCTCTAGCAAGGATGCTTACATTAACCGAATACCAAATCATTATATAAAAATGTAGCAATGACTTTTAAAGATTATTTTTCTAAATGTAATTGTACTCCCTCAATATTTTGGTAAGTTTAAGTAAAGCAAACATTTATAGTAAGTCTTGAATATTGTACACAACACATTTTGATCATATAATATTTCATGGAAGAAAAGTTACAAGTAAAGATACACATATTAAAGAAGCTGCAGAATCAGTAAAAAAGTGATTCAATCTTAATTTTTTTACTATATGAGTTATATTCACAAAAACTGTAAAGGATATTAAATAGCTTATAAATACATACACTTGTTAATGTTCATTAGTATTAACATTGTTTTTATGTTAAAACTTAAAGGGCTTTTTCGAGCATCTAGATTCTAATCTCCCAACCCACATAGTACAACAGTATTTATCAAAATTGGTGACATAATTTTTGTGTCCTAGTGCAAAATGAAAATTCCGGGCTTCCTATTAACAAATTATTAACAATTTCCAGAAGGTGAGAGAAGAATATTAAAATAAGCACAGGCCCTTCTAAATGTATAGCCTTGTGCAAATGCATACAACACAACCATGACGCTGCCCCAATATAAACAGGTTAATCACTGACACTTTCTTAAATGGTGTCCAATGGGGGGAAAAAAAAACTCAGGACTTCCTAAAGCAGCTTATTCTTCTATGAAGAGATCGCCATATCAGAAAGGTAATTTGAAATCTGGGTCCCTGTATTTTCCAATTATTTTATAACAGTGGTTTCAAAGTTAGGAGCCTTTCTTAATATTTCCTTGAGGTCCCAAAGGCTTAAAACATCACAGTAATATAAGATACTACCACATCACAAAGCAAGGTTCTATACTGGCTAATGTCCATGTACTCAAATATTAAGTAACAAGTTTTACTGTATTTCATTCATCACCATCTCCAGGTTGTACAGAAAGTGGTAGGGGGAGCAGGTAGAAAAAAAATGGAAGCAAAGAGAAGGCCTCCATACAGGGATGTTAGTGGCGCTTGGGTGCTTCTCTCATCACTTCAGGCTAAGTGAGAAGGGATCAAGAGAACCACTTGGGGAGCTTGGCTCACATGTAGAGGCTATATTTGGCTCATGCCCAAAACATCTAAACATGAAGAGACAACAGTGCAACAAGAACAGAGGGTTGAAATGAGAGCAAGCCACAATGATGCCAATTCTAAGACAAAGGTACTTGTTTTCTGGGAACGAGACATAGACTCTAAAGAATAAAATTTATGGCCATTTTAAAGGAGTTTACACTCAGGATGGCTGTGTGCCTGAAGGGGAAACAAGAACTCAACAAATGGTGGACCTCAGAGTGTCAGGGCTTGGGTCAGAGCCCTAGTGGCCAGTCAGGGGCACTGAGGCATCCAAGGAGCTTCAGTCAAAAGCCTGCAGAAGACCGCAAAAGCCCTACTTGTATTTGCCACGCAGAACAAACCAACACCAGACCACACTTGTGCTATCAGGCACCTTCATCCCAAAGGCTGACTTCACCTCACTCCCTGTGCCTCCTCAGCCCCGAAGGGACCAGAATCAGCAGCATCAAGTAAGAGAGGAAGTGGGAATAACAGATAACCTCACAATGATTCCCCGTCTCATGCAGGTCTGAGCTGAGGAGAAGCTGAAGTATTAAAGTGGATGAAAATTTTAAATGTTTATATATATTGAGCATAGTTTCCTAAATACTAAACTGAAATTTGCCTTGTGATTGGAGAGACTACAAAAGTTCTGGGACCTTTACAACATATCATCTGATCAGCATGGATCAAGAGGATGTGTGCATTTGGAAAAGTGTTGGGGAAATAAAATCTTTAAAAAAAATAGGGTTGGAAAAAAAAAAAGAAGAAGAAGGTAGCGGGAGGGGAAGAATGAAGCAGGGGAAATCGGAGGGGTAGACGAACCATGAGAGACAATGGACTCTGAAAAACTAACAGGGTTCTAGAGGGGAGGGGGGTGGGAGGATGGGTTAGCCTGATGGTGGGTATTGAGGAGGGCACATTCTGCATGGAGCACTGGGTGTTATGCACAAACAATGAATCATGGAACACTTCATCTAAAACTAATGATGTAATGTATGGGGATTAACATAAGAATAAAAAAAAAAGGGTTGGGGGACTAAAGGCCTTTCCTACTTGCACTGAGTCAAGCTTGTTCGATAAAGCAGTTGTAACTGATTGTGTGTGTGTGCGTGCGTGTGTGCATGTGCAAGTTAATATTCCCATTTCATTCACCAGTTTTTTTACATGACTCAGTTTCCAGAAGGCTTAACATTTGGCTTATTCTGTCCTTGGTGTGTTTTTACTGGTGACTGTACCTCTCTCTTTGGTGTCAATGATTGTTCCTAGGAAAGAGACTGATGTGACCAGCCAGAGAAGGAACAATCTAGAAACAGTTACCACTGATGATATGGCAGGATATCTCTATTAATGCAGAGCAAGATTAATATTAGTTTTCTTTGCTGTGAGACACTGGACAAATTTAATTCATAGTAAACAAAAACATCATATATCTCTGATGACTCTCTTCATTTCCATTTGTAATACATCAACTTTATTTCATGATTTTTTTCTCAAACAATTAAAAGAGTCTCATAACTGGTATCTGACTTAATTTGGTTAATTTCTGATTTATCTTCTATAATAAAGCAAAAAAGTTCTTTCCAAAATGCCATTGCCAACATAATGACATCCAAACTACTCTTCAGATTATATGAAGGCTCATAATCTGGACTCTGGTTACTGGTTTGGTTTGTACCTACTATACTTCTGTTTCCATCTTGAATTCAGCCACAGATTCATCCATACTGAATTTTATACAGTTCTCTGAGCAGGCTATTTCATACTTTTATAACTTTGCTCACACTTCTCCCGCTGCTTGGAACACCCCACTCCCCATGCCTTCACCACTAATCTCCTGGACAAGTGTTTATAATGTTTTATAGACCTGCTTGTTTCTATGCCTGTTAGGGCTCAAGAAGTATGTTAATGAGTAAATTAGGGGCGCCTGGATGGCTCAGTTGGTTAAGCGTCTGCCTTCAGCTCAGGTCATGATCCCAGGGTCCTGGGATCGCCCGGTGTCGGGCTCCCTGCTCAGTGGGCAGCCTGCTTCTCCCTCTGCCTCTGCCTGCCATTCCCCCTGCTTGTGCTCTCTCTCTCTCTCCCTCTCTCAAATAAATAAATAAAATCTTAAAAAAAATAATGAGTAAATTAAACTTCCAAATATTTTATACATACTTTCCCCCTTCTTGGTATAATTATTTTGTTTTTGAACTTAAGTATTTACATTTTTCTATTGAATCCAAATGGAAACACTTAAAAGAATTTTATTGTTTTAAGCCTATCTGAATATGGTTACATATAAGTTGTTTCACTTGTAACCACAGAGTTCAAGTAGAAAGTTTCTGCAGGAAAGCATTTTAGGAGTACTTGGCTACATACCCATCTCAGGTAATTTCATCTATGTTCCAACTTCAACTTATCATCAATAATAAACCAATGACTTCCAATGCTGTATCTCTAGTCCAGATCAGTATTGCATCTCTGAGATTCTGTTTCATCTCCAGTACCTAATGCATTGCTTCACGCAAATGCCTCAAAGGCACCTTGTGTGGATTATGTCAAAAAGTATAATTTATGATTTTTGCCTGGTTGGTTCCCCAGCAACACAAACCAAAAATCCTGGAGAAACTATTCACATCTTCCTTCTACCAGATACCTAAGGATAACTGGTCAATAAGATCTCCTAATTCATGGGATCCCTGGGTGGCTCAGTTGGTTAAGCATCTGCCTTAGGCTCAAGTCATGATCCCTGGCTCCTGGGTTGGAGCCCCGTGTTGGGCTCCCTGCTCAGTGGGGAGTCTGCTTGTCCCTCTTCCTCTCCCCCTTCCCTGACTTGTGCACGTGCTCTCTCTTTCTCAAATAAGATCTTTAAAAAAAAAATCTTCTGAATCATAAATAGATCTTGAGTTTCCCTCCTTCTCATTCTACCTCATTCCCACTCTTTGACCTGGTTGAGGCTCCTAGCTGGTCTCCTTCCCTTCATTCTTGCCCCATTCCAATTCACCTACCATATCATCTGGATTTTTTTTTTTTCTAAAGGTACACCTAATGTGCCAATCCCCTGAAAATGAATAAACTTCCCACTGAGGGCTAATTTTCATTATCTAAAATTATACAATGAGGCAATATACTCATTGCTAAAAATAAATGAATATCTTCTTACTGTATTCATTACATTTGATTCTAAGATCTCAGGTTGTCTCCTGAACTTAAAGATACATTAATAAATATCTCCCCTAAAATTAGCTAATGAAAAATAAACATAGAAAGTATTCATAAGTTCCACTGAGTGTTAGGGAGTAACTATGAGCCTACATTATATAAATCTACATGATAAAAACAATTATCATGAGGAAAACAGCATGTACCCATAGAAGGCATTATAGAGAAGCATAAAATAAAATCCAAAGTGCCCTTCAAAATTATGTTAAATACTTATTTCATTTCATCTTATTTTCACAAAGGAGATAAAAGGCATGGCTTTTTCCAAAAGGGTATTTATTTATTTATTTATTCATTCATTCATTCATTCATTCATTCATTCTTCATTAAGCTCCATGCCCAAAGTGGGGCTTGAATTCATGATTCTGAGATTAAAAGTCACATATTCTATCGACTGAGTCAGCCAGGCACCCCCAACAGGTAACTTCCGAAAGAAAAAGAAATTTCTGGGGTGGTGGCTCAGTGGGTTGGCTCAGTTGGTTGGGTCCCTGCCTTTGGCTCAGGTCATGATCCCAGGGTCCTGCGATGGATCCCCATGCCAGGCTCCCTGCTCAGCGTTTCTGCCTCTATTGCTCCCCCTGGTTGTGCTTTCTCACTCTCT